TGAACTCTTCATATATATATATATATATATATATATATATATATATGAGAAGTTCAGATGCAAAAGCCTCTAAGTGCCATTTGAAATTCTTCTGATCATTTTTATCACGTTTGTATATTTAAGTTCAGTAATATCACTTAAATGACAATTAATAGGTAGTCTTCATTGCAATTTAAGTGAAATTACTGAACTTATATATACAAGCTTGATAAAAATGACCATTCTAGAAGAATTTCAAATGGCACTTATAGAGGCTTTTGCATCTGAACTCTTCATATATATATATATATATGTAGGCTATGTATAAAAGCAAAGAATACATGAAAGTCAAAAACTCATTTTTAGTCATACCAGGAAAAAAATCCTGGTCAAATGGGCCATGTAGAATTGGTTCAGAATTAGAGTTTAAAACATCTTGAAAAGAAAATGGGAAGAAACTAAGTCTAACTAAATGAACGTTCGTTCGTACGTCCGTTCACACACCCGAATCATATTTAAACACTCTTTTTGTTTATAGGCCTACAGATAACTAATGTTATCTTACTAATGTAAGGATGCCACATGAGATTCTTGTTCCAATGTAAGCGAAAGTAAATTAACGCACGGCGCGCGCGTCTGTGAATTTCTTTCTATCAGACGCGCATTTGATATTTAAACAGTCTTTGTGGAGTTTACAGACACTATTCAATAACGCGATTAGAACAAAGCACTTATAATAAATGACTTACTGCATCAGCTGAATCCGTGCTCCTCAAAACGAAACTGTAAGGTAACATTTTTCCAGGATCTCCTCACTGCGCAGCAAGACGAAAGGTTAGGACAAGGTTAGATCTGTAATAAACTGTATGTTTTTATCGATGCGGGCGTTTTCATGGCTTGCTTCACATTAGTGTTTGAATAGCACGCGCTCTCAGTGGGCGGGGTCACATTAGCACGTCATTCGCTGTAATGAGGTGAAAGGGAAAATACTGACATCTCTCTCTCTTCATACAGATTACATCAACTGAGAATAGTTGCTTTTTATATAAATGACTTCATTTAAAAGAGCAGAATTTCAGCTTCATAAAGAGAGATCTTTCGTGTCTCTGTGACAAGTATTTAATGAGTTACAGCTCTTTTTTCGGACGCGTTTCAGAAATATTTTTGTGGAGACAGAGTGAGCTGAAAGCCCACCCTGTTTATTTTATTTATTTTACAAAAACACAAAGTTTTGATATTAATAAGAGTGTACACAAAAAGAAGACCCTCTATAGGTTATAATCTTGATTTTATTTATATGACAATTAATGACAGAGTATTTTAAGTCTATGTTGCAGGCAGCTATCTAGGCTACAAATCTTTTTTCGAGTCATGATTCGAAGGGTCCTAGATAAGACCCATATTCATCGTCTGGTGTCGTTTAAAGCCCTTTGAAGCTGCACTGAAACTCTCATTTGGACCTTGAACCGTTTGGTTCCCAATGAAGTTCATTATATGGAGAAAATCCTGGTATATATTCATCAAAAACCTTCATTTCTTTTTGACTGAAGAAAGAAAGATGTGGACATGTTGGATGACATGGGGGTGAGTAAATTACCAGCAAAAGTTTTTTTATAAGTGAACTACTAGTTTTTGCTGCCTATGGGAAATGGTGAAACAATGATTCTTTGATGAATAGGAATTTCAAAATAACTGTATTGAAATCTTTTGTAACATTAGAACATTCAGTAACAATCTTTTGAACACTAATGAAGCTGCTCTTAAGCCACTTAATGTTGTTTTTAACTTTAGATTTGTTCTGAAGTGTACTTTTAAGACACATCATTGTGTAATGTGTGAATCATTGAATTGGCTTCAGCTGAAATCAAGAAGAGACATTCATTGGTTTCTTTTTATTTCCAAATGTCCCTATTTCGAATGTCCTTCATATCTGAGAGAACTCTTGCTTCAACATAGTGCTTTGTATCCTTTTCGAGATATGCAATCTCTTGTCTTTAAAGTACCAGGAATCTTTTCAGCCACTGGTCAAAAATCTTTTCACTATAAAGCTACTAGTGATTGGAATAATCTTCCTCTTTTGTTGAGGTCCATCTTATTTCAAGTTAACTCTATTCCAATATCTAAACACAGTATGTACTGATGTTGAACTGAATTGCATTGCTTGCAATTGTCTTTTGTTTAGATTTATCTCCTGTTGATTCAACCTTGGTCCTTCTTATGTGACACCTTTTTGTTTACTCAATTTCCTGTACTATGGTTCCAATTGTATGAGTATGTGATGTGCTTTTTGTGACAGTTATGTCAAAGCTATGATGTGTCTTAGGTTTGACGTAATGGTGTGAGCTGCTTAGTAGCTCAATGTTTTTTTTTTTTTTTTTTGTTTGTTTTTTTATGTTATATGTATTGGACCCTTTTTGAAAATGAGATGTTGCATCTCAAGGGGCATCTCAATCCATTAATAAATTGAAATATACAATGGGGCCAAAAGGTTTTTAATCAGCCACTGATAGTGCAAGTTCTCCTACTTAGAATAATGACAGAGGTCTGTAATTTTTAATCATAGGTACACTTCAACTATGAGAGACAAAATGAGAAAAAAAATCCAGGAAATCCCATTGTAGGATTTTTTAAAGAATTTATTCATAAATTATGGTGGACAATAAGTATTTGGTCACCCACAAACCAGCAAGATTTCTGGCTCTCAGACCTGTAACTTCTTCTTTAAGAAGCTCTTCTGTCCTCCATTCGTTACCTGTATAATTGGCACCTGTTTGAACCCGTTATCTGTATAAAAGACATCTGTCCACAGCCTCAAACACTCACACACCAAACTCAACCATGGCCAAGACTAAAGAGCTGTCGAAGGACACAAGGAAGAAAATTGTAGACCTGCACCGGGCTGGAAAAAGTGAATCTACGATAGGCAAGCAGCTTGGTGTGAAAAAATCTACTGTGAGAGCGATTGTAAGAAAATGGAAGACATACAAGACCACTGATAATCTCCCTCGATCTGGTGCTCCACGCAAGATCTCATCCCGTGGGGTCAAAATGATCATGAGAACGGTGAGCAAAAATTCCAGAACTACTCGGAGGGACCTGAAGAATGACCTGCAGAGAGCTGGGAACAAAGTAACAAAGGCTACCATAAGTAACACACTACACCGAGAGGGACTCAAATCCTGCAGTGCCAGGCGTGTCCCCCTGCTTAAGCCAGTACATGTCCAGGCCATCTGAAGTTTGCCAGAGAGCATATGGATGATCCAGAAGAGGATTGGGAGAATATCATGTGGTCAGATGAAACCAAAACAGAACTGAATAAATTGCGTGACCACATGTAATGTCCTTCCGACATGTATCCTTGTTTTCGCATGGGTCCGGTTGCAGTCTCTTTTTTTCCTGTAACCACTCCGAAGTCCAAATTAAATCTTTAACATTTTCAGGCGGGTGAATCTCGTCACCAGTGATTGTCCTTTGAACCTTGTGGATCCGCCATCAAATTGATAAGTTTAATTATATCAAGTGCCATGAGAAAAGTCCACTAAGAGGCTATAAATCTCCACCTCCAACATCCTCACTCGCAATATAGTCTACTAGCCGAGACTCCTCCTTTGAGTACAGATGTGACGTAATGACTCAATATAGCCTACTAGCCGAGACTCTTCTTTATGTGTACAGATGTGACGTAATGACTCAATATAGCCTACTACTCGAGACTCTTCTTTATGTGTACAGATGTGACGTAATGATTCAAAATAGCCCACAAGCCGAGACTCCTTTTTATGTCTCAGATGTGACGTAATGACTCAATATAGCCTACTAGCCGAGACTCTTCTTCATGTATACAGATGTGACGTAATGATTCAAAATAGCCTACTACTCGAGACTCTTCTTTATGTGTACAGATGTGACGTAATGACTCAATATAGCCTACTACTCGAGACTCTTCTTTATGTGTACAGATGTGACGTAATGATTCAAAATAGCCCACAAGCCGAGACTCCTTTTTATGTCTCAGATGTGACGTAATGACTCAATATAGCCTACTAGCCGAGACTCTTCTTTATGTGTACAGATGTGACGTAATGACTCAATATAGCCTACTAGCCGAGACTCTTCTTTATGTGTACAGATGTGACGTAATGACTCAATATAGCCTACTACTCGAGACTCTTCTTTATGTGTACAGATGTGACGTAATGATTCAAAATAGCCCACAAGCCGAGACTCCTTTTTATGTCTCAGATGTGACGTAATGACTCAATATAGCCTACTAGCCGAGACTCTTCTTCATGTATACAGATGTGACGTAATGATTCAAAATAGCCCACAAGCCGAGACTCCTTTTTATGTCTCAGATGTGACGTAATGACTCAATATAGCCTACTAGCCGAGACTCTTCTTTATGTGTACAGATGTGACGTAATGACTCAATATAGCCTACTAGCCGAGACTCTTCTTTATGTGTACAGATGTGACGTAATGACTCAATATAGCCTACTACTCGAGACTCTTCTTTATGTGTACAGATGTGACGTAATGACTCAATATAGCCTACTAGCCGAGACTCTTCTTTATGTGTACAGATGTGACGTAATGACTCAATATAGCCTACTAGCCGAGACTCTTCTTCATGTATACAGATGTGACGTAATGATTCAAAATAGCCCACAAGCCGAGACTCCTTTTTATGTCTCAGATGTGACGTAATGACTCAATATAGCCTACTAGCCGAGACTCTTCTTTATGTGTACAGATGTGACGTAATGACTCAATATAGCCTACTAGCCGAGACTCTTCTTCATGTATACAGATGTGACGTAATGACTCAATATAGTCGACTAGCCGAGACTCTTCTTCATGTACATACAATATGCTAAATGAGCATGGCTCCTCTCAAAGTTTTTCTCTTCACTACCTAAACATTTGTATTTATTTTAAACAACACAGGGAGATTAAGAACATTTATGTAAAGCTGTTTTAAGACATTATATGTTGACAATAAAGATTGTAGAGGACACCAATGACACCCACACTCAAGAGCTTCTTATTGCATTTAACTACTCTAATTACTGCCGTAGCCTCATGTACATTTACAGAAAAGCCATTTCAAGGTGTTGATCTAATCTTTACAAACATAAGATTGTAAAAGGAAAAAAAAAGTTTTTTCTTTTGTAAGAAAGAGTGAAAAAAAGACCAAGTAGTGTGTATTTAAATTTTGTCTGACTTAAGTCACTTTAAAGTATAACATGAAGCTGGTCACCATCCACTTTATCTGATGACTTTACAGTTTTTCTTAGATGTGATTAAATGGAAAAACCACATTCTTTTGGATGGTCATCATATAACCCATAAGTGCTGATCATTATTCATGCGTGGTCACAGTTTCATGTGTGTGTGTGTCTACTTGTGTCTTAAACATTTCCAAAAACTAAATCAGTTTACCCAATTAAATTTAAATCCTGCATATGAAACCAGTGTCTTGAGTGACTTATTAAACATAATAAATCTTGGATTATATGAGACATTTAATGGTAGAAATCAAGACAAAAAAGCACATGATAAAAATACTGCGCTTATATTTTTGCATAGGCTTTGATTCAGGTTACAGCTGTACTGCTACTGTGAGTGTGATGTTGGTTTCTCAACTGCTGTAGATATTATGCCCTGTGGAGGGTTTCGGGATCACATGGATTAGGTCCACAAACAAACAAGTGAAGTGGTTCGGGTGGGTCGAGAAACCTGAGTGAAAATCACACATCTGTCATTTCATCCTCCAAATCGTCTCCCTCCGTTTCGCATTCTCCTTCCACTTCCTCCTCATCCTCTGATGTCATATCTGCATCATCCATCTGGGACATGCATTTCTGACAGGAACAGATGAATAAATAATTCTCCCTGAAAATGAGAGGGGAAAATGGTGTAAAAGGCTAAATTAAGACACTAATCACAATTCAGTCACTATTTACTCACACTCTTGTCCTTCCAAACCTGTATAGAGTGCAACCGGCCCTTTTTCATTGGCACTGGTTTCATTTCGGAAGTATTTTTTCCATTCATTTTTCCCATAGGGATTTTATAAGTCTTCATTAAAGAGTTATTAGCCGTGAACCAAGCCAATCAGCAACAAGGTGAATCCCAACACTACAAACTTTGAATTAAAGCAAAAAAGGTGTTTAAACTTGGACAAAAGGGACAACATTAACTTAGCGGCTTTTGTGAGTGAAAGAACTACAATCCCATGGTGAACACTGAATAGTTTTATTTTTGTTCTGTTTTTAATTTGATCATGCTGTTATTTACATTTACAAATGTTGATTTTAAATATACTGTATATATAGAAAGAGTCTCGTTCCCCTTCTAAGGGAACCATGATTACATTCGTAACCGGAGACTATTTTCACCAGGAATTCCATTGTTAAACAAGATTATTTGAAAAATAAACTGAAAAAAAAAAAAATGCGGGCAAACGGCTTAAATAGAAGCAAATACTATGGATTAACAACCTCGTAGCTCACTGTAAGGTTGTCTTTAAAGGTTTAAGTTACAGTTAAAAAAAACAATTTCCCTATGGAAAAATTTAAAGGGATAGTTCACTTTGAAATTAATTTTTGATATGTTTTAGCTTACCTCAAGGGCATCCAAGATGTAGGTGTCTTTGTTTCCACAGTAGTTTCAATTTTGATATTTTTAGGTCAAACCGTTCTTGTCTGTCAGTCATATAATGGAGGTCTATGGTCACCACCTCAAAGAGCATGCACAGAGAAGTCCAAATTAAACATGATTTAATGACTCGTGAATGTAAGTACACATTGATGGCCTAAGGCACGACAAGAGCGTTTTTTTGTGAAAAAACGAACAGTATTTATTTTGTTTTTACCTCTTGTAACCACAGCCACGTCCAACTGATCTGAGGGCATGGACACTTCGGTCTGCGCAAGCGCCGGAAGTGATCTCACGCGCGATTGCCCAAAAAAAAATAAAAAAATAAAAAAGTCTGGTTTTAATATCGAAATCATCTTCCATTTTGATTTTCTTGTATATCTAAATATGTTTAGATCTTCACAGTGAAAGGTTACACTTCCGAAATCTCTGTGTAAACAATGAGTGACGTACACGCATGAGAGATCACTTCCGCCGCTTTCCGGCACTTGCGCAGACCGAAGCGCCCGCGGCCTCAGCTCACTTGGACGTAACTGTAATTACAAGAGGTAAAACGATAAATACTGTTCATTTTCACACACAAACCGCTCGTTTCATTTCTTAGGCCATCAGTGTGTGCTTACATTTACGAGTCATTAAATCATGTTTAATTTGGACTTCTCTGTGCATGCCCTTTGAGGTGGTGACCATAGACCTCCATTATATGACTGACAGACAAGAACGGTTTGACCTAAAAATATCAAAATTGAAAATACTGTGGAAACAAAGACACCTACATCTTGGATGCCCTTGAGGTAAGCTAAAACATACCAAAATGAATTTCAAAAGGGTGACTGAAAATATAAGAATTGTTATTCAGATTTTATATCTGAAATCTGAAATCATACAACACTTTTGTGTGAGGACAACTAGCTAAGTAGTAAAGGCCCGATATACTTCAAGCAAAATCGAAGAAAGAACTGGTGACACTTCGAACAAAATCAGGCCAAAAAGTTGCTTTGCAAGTGAAACAGTTTGCCAAAGGAACCTTCCGGAAAAGTTTGCTCCGACTGGTCAATTTGGCTAAAAGCTACTATTAGTGTGGAAGGCGTTGGGATATTTACTAGATGCCGCAAAACTTCGTTTTTTTAACCCCTAAGCAAAAAATAAAATAAAAAATAAATAAAAAATAAAATCTAAATTATGCTTTAATAGTGTTTCTTTTGCCCTTTTATGAACAAGTGCAAAAATTCTTCAAAAATCTCTTGTGTCTTACAACTAATCAAACAATCCCAATATAAAGGTATGGAATGCTGGAAATGTACATTGTATTTATCTTTTAAACTCAAGTGTTTAGACCTTATATATTCCTTAATTCCAATGCACCAGAATACATTGAAGATCTGCCCCATTAGGGCTTTCATTCTACCCTTATTCCATAATAAATGAAGATCCATCAGGTCCAAGGGAGATCGAAGTCTCTAATCTTGACTTTACCTTGAAAAGAACTGCTGAACAACTTTGCTGTGAGTGTGAAGTCAGGCTTTTTTCACATGTAAAAAGTGAATATAGATTAAGTGGGATGTCCAAACAAACCCTCATTGGTCATCCAGGCAGTATAGCTGCTGCGATTGACAGGTAAATGATCAATAGGAGAGCAAGGGCCCAGAAACAAGTCAACAGCCCCTGTGGTTATCCAGGCCGAGAGCTGCTGCCAGAGACCAAGGCCATTGATCCTCTCTGGAGGTAGACTCAGCTGGGCAGTTTCACAGAGAATGCTTAAACAAGGGATTGCATTCGTTTACCTCAATATCTTGTGCCGGCTATGACGACTCCTGTCTCTTTGGCAGCAGTCCAGGTAGCTGATACAGATTTCCTACAGAAAGAACGAGAGAAATTCATGAGATGATCAACAACTCAGCAAGTCTTATTTGTTTTAATTATTTGTTATGTTATGAATCAAGTTGTACGGAAGAATGGTTTTCTGTTTTATAAATTGGCCAACGCCATGAAATTACTCTGTGGGTGTAATCACTCTCGTAATGTTTCATTGCATTCATTTTTTTCTATTTTGTCCATTTTGGAGGCTGGCAGACCATCAATATGGAAATACACTCCTGTTCAAAGGTTTAAAATAACTGTTTTCTACTTTATTATATAATGTCAGTTTTGATCAAGTTAATGCTTCCTTGTTGAATAACTATTCACTCCTGTCAACTTCTGAACGGTAGTAAATCTTCATGCGTGTTCCCCAAAAGAAAAGAAAAAAACAGTTAAATAAAATCAAAGGTTTGGAATGACATGACAACATTTTTTTCCCCCCATTTAATTCTACTTCCAAGGAAATCCACATCCTGTTAACTACCTCAAATCAAATTCGGGAACTTAAAGGAGTAGTTCACTTTTGAAAAAGCTTTTGCTGATAATTTACTCACCCCCATGACATCCTTTCTTCAGTCGAAAAGAAATTAAAGTTTTTGATGAAAACATTCCAGGATTTTTCTCCATATAATGGACTTCAATGGGAACCAAACGGTTCAAGGTCCAAAAGACAGTTTCAGTGCAAACTACAAACTGTTCAAAGGGCTTTAAACGATATTTTGTTAAAATAAAGAAATAGCAAAGTTTAAGTTTTATAAGCTCAAATGGTCGCCTTGCTCTGTTCTGTGATGCACGTTCATGACTCTCCTGTTCGAACTCGTTCATCAAAATGAACAAATCTTTTACCGAGTCATTTGGTTCATTCAACAAACGAAACGAACAAATTGACTCTGAAAAAGTTCTGTTCATTTTGATGAACGAGTTTGAACAGGAGAGTCATGAACGTGCATCGCAGTACAGAGCAAGGCGAGCATTTGAGCTTATAAAACTTAAACTTTTTTATTTTTTTCGCTTGATAAGACCCTTATTCATCATCTGGAATCGTTTAAAGCCCTTTGAACAGTTTGCACTGAAACTGTCTTTTGGACCTTGAACCATTTGGTTCCCAGTGAAGTCCATTATATGGAGAAAAATGCTGGAATGTTTTCATCAAAAACCTTAATTTCTTTTCAACTGAAGAAAGAAAGACATGGACATCTTGGATGACATGGGGGTGAGTAAATTATCAGCAAACGTTTTTTTTTCAAAAGTGAACTACTCCTTTAATGAACATTCTCAATTTAATTCTGATCGGTTCACAGATTTTGCTATAAGGCAAAACATGATGAGAAAAAAACGGTCACTGTGTCAGAAAACCAAGTTAAAACAAATTTGGCATTAGGTAACCTTGTAAAAATTCATAAAGCTCTACAATGTGAATTCAACAATAAAAGCTATAAAAAATGCACGATGAGCTGTCATCCACTGGCTAATATGCTTCAGATAAACAAAGCTATGAAATAAATCTGTGCAATGTTCTACCTCTCCAGCACGAAGGCAGGCAGATGTAGGCCTTTTCAATCTAACTGACAAGCTGCCAAAACTGCTCCAATCTTCAGAGTCTAGACTGTAATTCCTACCGACAATGAAACACTCAAGGCTTTAGAATATTACGACCCTCCCTCCGAGCATCAGCTTAGCATCTATTATCCAACATCCTCCTCTGACCTCTCCGGGGCTGATGTCACCGAGGGCGCCGAGGTGAAGGAGGAAGTTGTTGTCGGGGAAAGACGCCTCCGCATTGGGAACGCAGCTGTGATTACCTGTACAACAACGGAAACGGTAATAAATCTTCACTTCTTTTACCAGAGCAAGAAGACAGGCCTCATTTGTTAAGCTGACCTGATTTCTTCTACTCAAAGTCAACTTCTACTGTATGTGAAATGCTCACAGCTGTACAAACTGAAAGACATGCCAGTATGAATAAAGACAATTCTCACAAGAGCTTTGCAGCAGGAAAAGTCCAGAGCCTTCGCAGTTGAGGAAATCACCGGTTTCTGTAGCAGAAGAAAAAAAAAAGATCTATGAAAGATTCATTTCACACTTTTGCTCAAAACAGTAATGTGCTACACAGATCGATGGCCGTCTAAGTGGTAAAATGTGTGTCTGCGTCCGCTTGATGTCAAACGCAGAGATGGGTTCAATCTTTGCAGGTATACAGATCAATGTGTGAGGATCTAAGCACTCGAAACAGGTGGGAGACTTAAGAGAAAAATTACCTTTGTCGATGTCCTTGTACAACTGATCGATAAAAGCATCCAGTTGCTCCCTCTGCTGGCTGGGAAGCTCCAGTGCGTCGCACGCATGAACCCACTGACTCAGAGAGCTACAGACACACATCAGATCAGAATCGCTTGAGGAACATTATTCTTCTGGATACATCTCTCTAGGGTAAAACATTGATTGTTTCTATTGAGTGGTTTACCTGGTGCCAATACCCTGACCGTTGGTCCCAACGAGCGAAAACAGAGAGCGAAATCCTTCTGGAGAGAACCACTGTATATACACAAAATAAGTTATTTTATAAACATCTGCCCTATCCTTAATTCAGTACATTCAGTGGGTCTGTTATACTCTTAACAGGAATGAAGTAATGACACACAGATACTCGCATACGCTTGGCGACTACATAACATCTATCATTAGACATTGGCTTTTAAATTAAAAAATTGAGATTTCACTCGCTAGTGTTTGAGATGTGTAAAATTGGTATACTGTGCAACCCTAGTGGTTATTGTTAGTAGTAGTCTTTTAAAGTTCTGCCAAGTTCTGTTAAAATGACAAAAATGTACTTTTCATATTTGGTCTAATTCTCATTTTATAAAAATTTTCGTTCATATATGGTCTTGTTCTTAAAAGAATGGCCAATGTTAAAAGTGTAGTTGTTTTGCTCTCGGATCATATTACATGTGAATAAAGTAAAACTGAGCCATTTTATGAAGATAAACTGATTTATATATATATATACACACTACCGGTCAAAAGTTTTATATCAGTAAGATTTTTATGTTTTTAAATGTCTCTTCTGCTCACCAAGGCTGCTTTATTTGATGAAAAAAAAAATGACAAACAGTAATATTGTGAAATATTATGACAATTTAAAATGACTGTTTTCTATTTTAATATATTTTAAAATGTAATTTGAAAGTTGAATTTTCAACATCATTACTGTTGCTGATTACACATTAGTTTTCAGTGTCACATGATCCTTCAGAAATCATTCTAATATGCTGATTTTATGCTCAAAAAACAAATTATTATTTTCAATGTTGAAAACAGTTGTGTACCATTTTTTCATAGAAAGTTCAAAAGAACAGAATTTATTTAAAATATAATCTTTTCTAACATTATAAATGTCTTTACTGTAACTTTTGATCAATTTAACTCATCCTCGATGAATAAAAGTATTTTCTAATTTCTTTCCCCCAAAAATAAAAAAATAAATTCTTACTGACCCCAAACTTTTGAATGGTAGTGATTAATGTTACAAAAGCTTTCCATTTCAGATCAATTCTGTTCTTTTGAACTTTCTATTCATCAAAGAATCCTGAAATAAAAATGTAAAAAACTGTTTTCAACATGGATAATAATCATAAATGTTTCTTGAGCATCATATTATAATAATTTCTGTAGGATCATGTGACACTGAAGACTGGAGTAATGATGCTGTAAATTCAGCTTTGATCACAGGAATAAATTACATTTCATTATATATTAACATAGAAAACCGCTGTTTTAAATTGTAATAATATTTCAAAATATTACAGTTTTTTTTGTTGTATTTTTTATCAAATAATTGCAGCCTTGGTGAGCAGAAGAGACTTCTTTTAAAAACATAAAAAAATCTTACCGATCTAAAACTTTTGACCGGTAGTGTATGCCTGGTAGTGTTGTAGTGTTCAAGAACGGTCTTGGTCTCGAGATCGGTCTTAGGACGCATTTGTCGCATTTGTACTCGATCTTGTCTTGGTCTCAGACTAAAAAGACTCAGGATTTTATCTCAAGATCGGTCGACATCACCAAATTGCCAATGCATTGTCCGATCCATTTGTTAAGATCATTAATGTGATTTGATGCCAAACATACTGCTAAAAAAGCAATCAATAACTTCTTTCTAATTTGATTTCTTTTGTTACTGTACTGCCAGGTTCAAAATCAATGCAGGGTTTTGTCTAATAAATTCTACAGAATATAATTAAGCAATATCACAAGCGGAATTGAGCTTTTTTCATGAATATAACAACGATTGCAAATGTGATATTGATTTTATACAGACGTTCAATAAAAACATCAGTTAATTTTGAGTGAAAGTTTAAGTTTTTGTTAATTTGGCAACAGGTTTCATTAAATAAATTAATCAGCTGCTTTGAACAAATCAGTTGAATACATGATTCCGTCAAATAATGTTAATGTTTTAATGTTAATCTAAACATTATTTATGCAGGTGTAATTGTACAAATTCTGATGCAACCTCTGCAACACAAAGATGAATTTTATTGTTAGTGATTTAACTGGAAACAGCTATATAGTCTTAATATTCTTATTGTATTTACTAATTAAATACAAGATTTTTCTCAGACAGTACAATAGATATAGATCTTTTAGATGAATTTGAGGAGTGCTAGTCTTGTCTTGGTCTCGGTTGTATTGACAACAACACTAACGTCTGCCGCATAAACTAAGAAATGTACTAGTCAATTGTGATTCTATTGCCATGGTATGCATAGAATTACATGTTTGTATGACCCTTTTGCTTTTTATTAAAAGATAGATAGATAGATAGATAGATAGATAGATAGATAGATAGATAGATAGATAGATAGATAGATAGATAGATAGATAGATAGATAGATAGATAGATAGATAGATAGATAGATAGATAGATAGATAGATAGATAGATAGATAGATAGATAGATAGATAGATAGATAGATAGATAGATAGATAGATAGATAGACAGACGATGGCTGACCTGACTGAGACGATCTTCGTACAGTGCTGTGGAAAACAAATTACGCAGCAAGGCCAGCTGTCCCTAATAAAAGGAACAACACTGTATTTAGGGACATTTTTACTGGTAACACTTTATTTTAAGGTGACTCTACATGTTATTACACGCACTAACTATAGTAATAATAGTAAATGGTGCATAATTACAAGTAGGGATGGGCAACGATTAATCGCAATTAATCGCGTACAAAATAAAAGTTTGTGTTTATGTAATATGTGTGTGTGGTGTGTATAATTGTTTTGTATATATAAATACACACACATTCATGTATATATTTAAGAAATATTTGCATGTATATACTTTATATATATTTATACGCAATTAATATTATGTATAAATATAAATATTTGATATATTAAGAACACATTTTTCTTAAATATATACATGCATGTGTTAGTATTTATAAATACAAAATAATTATACACACCACACACACATATATCATGTAAACACAAACTTTTATTTTGGATGCGATTAATCGCGATTAATTGTTGCCCATCCCTAAACAAGTAACCAAGCCTAAACCAAATCCTAACCCAAAACCGTAACTCTATAGTAAGTACATGTAGTTTATTAATATTACTCAGCGCTTATTTGAGTAAGTACAGTGTAAATACATAAAAACTCAAACTTCTTGATGATGCAGCATGAAGCATGAGAGGCTTTAATAATGTACAAAAGATTAAGGACTTTCCATTTACCTGAAACTTCTCACCCAACAATTTATGAACTATTTCCTCCTCTTCATTTGCTGTACGACTACAAAAATGATTGAACAACCTCTGCCAGCGTCCCTTATCTTGAGCCTGAAACAGCAACAAAAGCAGTTTTTGCTTGATAGAAGTTATTTCATACTTACTAACATTTCATTTAGGCAAACCAATAGAAAATGGTAACCTGCTTGATGGTGGCCACCATCCTTGCCATGATCATGATACTGGAGGTTTCAGGAGGGTAGTGCACGCTCCTGGATTAAATGGAAAAACAATTTAATGCAAGAGCAGAGTCATAAACTTCAAGGTTAGCATGCTAAAGAACGCCTATGCACCAACAGCATTCAAACCAAAAGCAATCAATTACTGACAAAGCAAGGACTCTAATGTTCTGCATAATACTTTCAGCATAGACCTCGTGGAACAAAGAAACAAAGAAACAAGCGCGCAGCCATCTATTGAATCTTGTGTTTGAACTTCCATTTTGTGGTCGCTCTGTATATTTCTATGGCATCACTGATGGAGAGTAATTAGCCGGAGTAGTGGATTTACTTATTGTAGAGCCAAGTTATCATGAGCATTGCAATGTTTAAAGCAGATGTCAAAACAAATGTCAGTAGCCCGGGAAGATATATTTATAAAAAAAAATTAATGAGTAAGATCTTCATGTTGTGGAAATTCGAACCAGAAAAGAGAACACAACGAGCGCAGCGCTGAAAAGAGACGTGGCTACATAAGGTCTATATGAGTGAGTATTTACTTCCATGCGTCCTTCAGCTTGTTGATTGGGTGATCCGGATCATCATGTGAAGGGCCAAGACACAGGACCTTGTGGTATTGCTCCCACGCAGCCTGTCGGCACTCAGTACCGCAGTACATCACCTGAAGGGAACGAATATGAAGACCATTCAAGGATAAGTCACAAACCAACCCTGCTTCTTAAAAACACATTGGTAGGATTGGTTCAAAAATACTTGTGTTTAATTGCTAAATTATTTTTTGAGGGATTTGTACTTTCCTCAAGTACTTGAAAATGAACACTCGTTCTTCCAATGGGGGGAAAACGTACTTTTAAAGCACAAAGTACGTGTTTTGCAGGTCATCATGACTTAAAAATGTCCTTGTGCTCACTAATGTTTAATAAAAAAACAGCGAGCCAATCAAATCTTTGTCAATAATTGGTCAATTATGGTCGGCCTGACTCGAGGATCTCATCTCGAGGATCTCAATGATACAGAATCCCTTGTTAATCATTTTAATGACCATTGCCACTCTGTCCTGGACATAGTGGCCCCTGTAAAGCATAAATTGACTTCCCCTAAAAATACTTGTCCCTGGTTAAGTGAGGAGATTGCTTTCACCAGAAGAAGTAGAGCGCTTGTGGAAATCCACTAACATGACCTATTCATTATATGATGTCATGGTCTTACTTAAAAAGATGAGGCCATCACCATGCCCATTGGATATATATATAAAATGATTGATCTTGTTGCTCCTATTGTCGTCAAAATTATTAACACTTCACTTTCCACTGGGATGGTCCCAAACTTTTATAAACAGGCAGTGATAAGCCCCATTTTTAAAAAAGCCCAATTTGGACCCTGCGGAGCCTTGTAACTACAGGCCAATATCAAAGCTGTCTTTTATCTCAAAAGTCATGGAGAAGGTAGTAGCTGAGCAGTTGACAGCTAAAACCAATCTGACCGATAAAAATCAATCTGATTTCAGAAAGATGCACTCTACTTAGACTGCTCTACTCAAAGTGTCTAATGGAGTACACATGGCTGCTGATTCTGGAAGGTACTCAGTATTGGTTCTATTGGATTTATCATCAGCGTTTGATACAGTGGACCACAAAATGCTGTTGAATAGATTAGAAAAAGAGTTTGGTATCACTGGGTCTGTTTTAAAGTGGTTTTCCTCTTAACTTTTTCTATATATGTAAATAATATATTGTCTGAAGCCACTCCATTCATGAATGGAGTTCCACAAGGCTCTGTCCTAGGGCCGCTTTTGTTTATACTGTACATTACCCCTTTGGGAAAAATGTTGAGCTATTTTAACAATGTGTCATAACATTTTTATGCAGATGACATACAGCTGTATTGCTCGTTCAATGACTCCGAGTTCCACAAACTAACAGATTTATTGGAATGTTTCTCTTTAGTTAAATCGTGGCTTGCTAGTAACTGTCTTCAATTAAATTCGGAAAAGACTGAAACCCTAATTGTTGCCCCAGACAATAAAATACCTTCCGTTCTTCAAAACCTTGGCTCTCTGAGCTCCTCTGTCCAGTCGAGCATCAGAAACCTTTTATTTCTTCACTGTAAAGTCTTTTTACTTTTTGTAACAAATCTACTTTAAATCGCCTTCAAATGGTTCAAAATGCTGCGGCAAGGATCCTAACAAGATCTGGCAGGAGGACAAACATTACACCCAGTTTGTCCTCCTTGCACTGGCTACCCATCAAATTGCGTACTGATTTTAAAATATTAGTTTTAACTTTTAGAGTTTTACATGGTCAGGCCCCTCAATACATTGCTGATTTGTTATGCTCAAACTCCCCAGGCCGTGCACTCCGATCCTCAGGCCAGAGTCTGTTAATGGTCCCAAAGACTCACTATAATATTTGGGGAGACCTGTCATTTCAGGTTGTAGCCCCCAGACTGTGGAATGCCTTGCCTTTGTTCCTCCGTGTGACCGACTTGGACGATTATTTTAAAAGGCATCTTATTTAGACAGGCATTTAGTTAACTGGGTTTTATTTTGGGCTCTTTAAATGTTGTAATTTTACTGATGGTATACCGTTTTATTTTGTGGTTGCACTTTGCAAAGCACTTTGTGATTTTTATCTGTGAAAAGTGCTCTATAAATAAACTTTACTTACTTACTTACTCATCAGCCATCACAGTCTTTCCTCTAAAGCTAAATATTTTAACCCTATAACGCCAACAGTATCATGTTTGATGCATGACATTCTCTAAATTATCAGTGCGTACACAATCAAAAAGACTAATAGTTTATACTTTTTATGAGCAAGTAAAAGCCCTTTATTTTCCATATTCAGGTTGTGGTACATGTGTCTTTTTACTGTGAAATCTTTACTGAATAAACCTAATTAGAACTTTTATATTGTTAGTAATATTTCAAGATGAACATTTACCGGAAATGAAGAAATATGGGTTTACTTGATTATCCATACAAACACTTAAAAAAAAAGAGAGAGAGAGAATCATGTTAAGCTGTGTTATCAAATATGATTTTGAGCAGTGTTGTTGGCTAAGATAATCTAAAACGTAATTAATTATTAGCCAGTAATTACATCTTACAGTGTAATTAGGTTACTGTAAAAAGTATTGGATTACTTACACTAATCACTTTCTGAATACCATATCCACTTCGACCAGTTGAACAATGCCAGGGCATGAAAGTACTCTTTTAATTCTTTCAAATAAATTATATATTATATTATTCATAAACGGTTCAAAGTATTTAAAGTGAGACGGTTTCCTTTAACATTCATTTTAACATTAGATGTTACATGTTACTGTCAAATCCACTATTGTTTTATATAGAATTGTTCAATAATCAATACAATATTTAATGAAATTACATCCGAAGTAACGGTAAATTACGGTAAATGAAGAGTAATCCCTTACTTTAAGGGAAGAGTAATTAAATTACAGTAACGCATCACACCCAACACTGCTGTTGGGAACATTTATTTGTTAATCTCTCAATGATCATTGAACTCATTTATTATATGTTTTGCACCCACATTAAAACTACAGAGCTTCGATATAAAAGAAAGCATTTAAATACAATTTTGTGAGGACATATTATTGGAAGTTGTAAATATTGATAGATACTGATATTTACATGATTTTAGTAGTCTACTCTAATGTTATAAAAACCTCATCTCATTGATATATCTCTTTATATATATATATATATATATATATATATATATATATATATATATAAATACACATGTATATTTAAGAAAAAAATATTATTTATATATAAAATATTAATATATAATATAAATTATATATACATCTATATAGAGTATAAACATGTAAATATTTCTTAAATATATACTTGCATGTGTGTGTATTTATATATATAATATAATTATACACAGTGAACCCACATATATTATGTAAACACAAACTTATTTTGAATGCGATTAATCGTTTGACAGTCCTAATTTTTTCTGACTATTATTTCACGTGTCAGGCTTTACAGGGTAAATAATATCACATAGTCTGTTTGTTATCAAGAATAAACAATGTAATCGGTTTATTCCAGATTATTAACACCTGGGTCAAACACAACAGATGACATCAAGAATACATGGGGGAACACATTAACATCAAGTGTACCTGACAGTGTGGGCAGGCCTGGTGTCGGTCAGGTCGCACCTTACACAGCTCAGGGTGAGGCAGACTCAGAGCGGGAAGACCACTCAACCTCCTGGCATTCTCCTCCGCTGTCTCCAGAGCACGCAGACAGTGCTCACATGCTGAATATGGGGAGAAGAAGTCATATAGTCACCAGATCTATATATTATTGAGCAACATGGGGTGTTTTGGAGAAACAAGTCAGAAAACATTTTCCACCACCAGCATCACGACCACTGTTCTGGAAGAGGAACGGCTCAAAAGTCTTCTAGCCACTGTAAAGGTTTTGCATTTTGTATATGTCATTGCCAAATAGATGCTGTATTGGCCGCAAAAAAGGTCCTACACTATACTTATAAATTAAAACTAGGCATTTCAGTGCCCAACCACTGTCTATCCTTAATAGTAATATCCCATAAAGCTGAATAAAAGCTTGATAAGATCATTCACCATCAGTATATGATCAAGAATATCTGGATAATAATTTATAGGGCACTTACCTCTGTATTTGTACACGGCATTCCACAAGAACTGAGATGAGACTAGAGGCTTCTCAATGAAAATAGTGTCACCCTTTTTGAACGATCTTTTGGCGAACAATCCTTTGCCCTGTAGAAATATAATTGGATCATTACAATATACACATATTTAACTGCTGCTGACTGGAACATGCGATAGTTGAAACCCATTCAAAAGTGCATGTTCACATATATGTCACCGCTTTAGAGAACATGAATAAGATTGATTTATCAGAGTTTGCATGTTTTGGGGTTTGTATGAGGTTCTGGCATAATAAGCCGGGTGACGTGGGAGGGGTGCGAGAGCCATAATCAAAGCTAAACCTCTAAATAAAACATGACTGAACTCTATTATTAGATGAGGATGCATTTTTATCATGGCACTACTGTAGCATACCTTGACATTATCGATAAATCGGACCTCCACGCAATTACTAGCTTTGGCAGGATCCACGCAGCGAGAAAACATGTCATCTATGTGGGCCGCCATGTTGGATATTTACATATCAACCTCTGACCCCTCAGATTGACCAATAGTGTGTATGTGGTACATCTCCATTCACTGTCAACTCTCGACTGTAGATAGATTTATTCTGGAAGAAAATATCGCTGCTGCTTGTTATAAACATAAATGCTACGCTAAGGAGGAAGTTCTGTTTTGGTGCTTCTTGATAAAAATGTATAAATGTGCCGTCGGAAGGCGGGGCGAGTCAACTGGTAACTCGTGACGTCAAATTCGTGAATGAATTGTTCTTCTGAGTCGGATCCCGGGAATATGTTTGATTTGCAAATTGAACGATATAGTTAAACAAACATTCGAGCTGGTTTTAATGAATTGTGTTTTATCAAAACGTGCAAAATTCCTTTCAGAGTCATCTAAAATGAATAATGTAAATCTAAATTAGACACCAAGGCTCAATCACTTGACATTTTTATGCCGGAGCTGATCATGCCTGAAACAAATTGAACTGGAACACTTGAAATTACAATAAACACCCTTGTTAATTCATCCTAATGCAACCTAATCATTATATAAAGGGACGGATTTATGCACAGGCATTAAGCACGTTGAAATAATATTATTATTATTATTGTTGTTAAATTATTTCAGTCTAATGATAAAAATCTTATAAATTAATTACATATTTCCTGAATTCTCGTATCCATATTTCACCATTTTTATTTTTTCATAAATCATTACTATTGGTCACCCGTGTCTGTCTGTGGTTACTCCATTCCTAAAACTGTTATATAGTATAATGTAGTTTCCGCCTCTATCGTGAAAGCAGTTTGGGACGTATCTGCTAGTTTACAATGCAAATGTAAATGAATTATTATTTGTTTGAATAAGTAGTGTTTACTCAACAAACACTATAAAGGCAAATATTTTATGAGGAGAGGAGTGAACTAGCATATGTCGTCTAGTCATAGCCAATACTGTTTTAGAAAGTGTTAAATACAGTGTTTTTTATTTCAATTTATTGGAAAGTATCTGTTTTGGTCATACTGTCCAAAAACTTTTCTTTGTGGGCGATTTAAAACGTTTTTAAGTGGTTCTTTAAAACGCCTTGTTCTAAAGAACCGATTCGCGTAAAAGAGTCAAACTGCGTCATTGCTGGTAACCAATCAACGGTCAGCTCCCTCGCGGTAGCCAATCAGCGCCCGTCTCACTCCCTTGAATCCTCTACAGCGGGTCGTGTGTTTTGGTAGTAAGTAGGGTCAGAAAATTTCCCAAAAAGTTAAGAGAGTGCGGACTAACTGACTTTTATTTAGCTTTAGCTTTTAGTTTTAATGTGGACTTGAGAGGTCTTGTTCAAAAATGTTGCTGGCGGAAGTCAAAAAGCTGAAAGTGGCCGAGTTGCGGGCCATGTTATCGGAGCGAGGACTCGACCCGAAGGGCCTGAAGGCCGAGCTGGTGGTGCGGCTCATTTCTGCGATTGAAGCCGGTGTTGAACCTATCATCAAAAGTGGAGGAGATGAAGGGGGAAATGTTTGTGAAGCGACGAGTACAGAGCCTGCAGAACAGCCTCACTCTCTGGAGCGCGAGCCGTGTGTTAGGACGCAGTCTCCAGTATGCACTAGTACAAGCAAGAGCATGAATGCTTATGTTGATCAAAGTACACAGACTGACCCACATCAGCTCTGCTCATGCACTGCCCCAAGAGCCATCGCAGAGCCGCTGTCTGTTAGGACACCAGAGGCCGTTACTTCCAGAGACGACAGACATCAGAGGGATCCACAGTCTGTACATCCTGTCGCCTTGGCAACCGCTGCTCCAGAAGAAGAGATGCAGTGTCAGGATGCACATCATCATCAGTCTTGGCCATTTCACCACAGCCAGAAACAGCACAGGAGCACGACCAGTGTAAGTCGCCCTTAGAGCACAATTAAACAAGTGTTTTCTTTTCTTGTTAGCTGATCAGATAATAGAATGATATTTTTGTGATTGTCAGGTGGAGCTGAGACAGTGGACTACAGAATAGAGGAAAACACGGAGCTGAGGAGAGGAAGAGATTATTATGAGTTCAAAGAGGACGTTCATTACAACAGGTATTGATAACAATAGCATTAACTGATACTCTGAGGTACTTCAAAGAACATGGTGCATGTCATGTGATGCATATAGCAAGTGTTCAGTATTTCCATGAATTAAATGTACATTTGAAACATCTTTGCTTTCATTAAAGGGATAGTTCACCCAAAAATAAACACTTGTATTTTGGTTTGCTTGGTTCGTTTGGTCTGGACCCCCCCAAAAAAGCATTTACTCCTGGTCCGCTTAGCATTCTCATTGGCATTCCAACACCGAACATAAAGGCATAGGGATTCGTTCACAACCTGATTGGTTGTGTTTGAGATAGAACTCACTGCACGTTCAAAACAGTGGTATTCGCTGGGCTAAATGTCCTCGTTGTATGTGTGTAACCTACATATGATAGTGTTTTGATCAGCTGAGAACTCGATCAGCTTATAAGATGTGAGAAGGAGTCAAAACAGCAGCAGGAATCCCTCTATCACACACATAGGCTAAACGAAGATCTGCTGTGAGGAGACGAGGTTATGATGCCTGAACTGAATTATGGAGGTCAACATCTCATCACTATGACAAGAAAAAAAAACTGGCATGCTTGAGTATTCTGTCCAAATTGAGTAATTCTATCTAAATGTCCAGGATTAAATTTGAAATAAAATAGTTTATCATTTTATCTTAATGGCACTTAAAAAAAAAAAGATCTAAATACTATTAAGAATTCTATCAGAAATCCATTAATACATTCTGTAAAATTTATCCAGTGGGTTTCTTACCCCAGTAAAGAGCCATCTTACCCCTCTTTATGTATTATTCATCAGATTTTTACAAAACTCTTCTGACTTTTTTTCCCCTGACTTGTTTGTCTTCAGAGCTAAGACTCCAGAACTGCTGCCGGAGCCTGAGGAAGAAGCTAAATTTGATTTTGAGGATGTTCGACTGGATTCCGGTAAATTCATCAAGATCCAATCCATGCTCAGATGTAAAAAGTCATTTGATTCAAGATGAAAGCTTAATAATAAAAGTCTTTCCTCAAGAACAGTGCGTCTGTTTCACAGATAACTGTGACCTGCATTTCGAGGTGGGTTCTGATGGAAGCAGCGGTCAGCCACTCTTCTGGGAGAGATTCCCCTTCTTTGGTCAGGGTGCAGGATGACCCATGGATTTTGTCATGGGAAGGTCGGATTCGAAGCCAAGGTGTGAACTGAATCATGTAAATGTTACGTTGTCGTTTACCAACAAAAAGTATTTCATATTGGTGAATAATTCCACTTTTGCGTCTCCAGTTTGTGAAGCGACTGTCATCACCTGCAATAGACACGAGCGACGACCCTGATCCACATGTGCTCAGAGTGGGCTGGTCTGTGGACAACTCAAGCCTTCAGTTAGGTGAAAAATAACATTGTAGTAATTACAGTCCTGAAAGGCTTTGACAATTATGAAGATTATGGACATTTTGGTGGGGAAGTATACATATGTGCAGTGCTAAGAACTATAAAAATGAATCCTAGTAAATGATTTTATATCTGATTGTCCTTGTTCTCTCAGGAGAGGTGGAGCTGTCGTATGGTTTTGATGGACGGGGGGAGGATAGTAACTGGAGGAAAGGAAGAGGCATTTGGTGAGCCCTTCACAGAAGGAGATGTCATCGGTTGCTATGCAGTAAGTTTCAAAGTTAATTGTTCAGAAGTAGGTTATAGTGTTGCATCCTTGGAAGTCTATGAAGGTCGAAGCGAGCGTTGTTAAATGGGACGGTCTAGTCTACGGAGGATTGTTTGTCATCTAGAAACGGTGACTTCTACTGTTGATGAATGACAGTAACGTTTGTAGTTCAAAACCGGTCTAAATGTTCACCACATCTTAGTAAGATATCAGTCAACATTTGAATTGCTTTAATGTGTTTTTTGTGTGTTTGTTTTTTACATTTGTGTAATTAGATATTTGAAGTTGAAATAATACTTGCATTTAAAATAATCTGGCATTTGAGTGCAATGAATCTTGGGTAGGCTAGGCTGTGAAGGATCCACTCGTTCACGGCCCAGGACGCATTCGAAGTCGCTGTGACGAATGCAGCCTAGCTTAGCTTATCACATCCATTGCTCTTGGGTTAATTAAGTTCTGTTTTATTATCGATTTGTTCCATATCCCTTATCTAGTTCATCAGTGAGACTGGAGAAGCGACACTTTCATTTCACAAAAATGGGCGTTCTCTTGGAGTGGCGTTTCGCCTGACGTCTTCTGCTCTTAGAGGAAAAGCTCTCTATCCCCACGTGCTTTGCAAAAACTGTTTGGTTTCGGTGAATCTTTGATCCAGATACTCCCTGGCATCCTTTTCCTGCTGGTTTCTGCACACTAGTCATACTTCCTCCCGGTCAAAGGACTCGTGAGTCTTTGCCGACAGCATCTAAAAGTGATTGTGAGGTAGGAATTTTGTAAAAGTGTGTTAACCCCTTACAAAAATAAACTAAATAAACATGTTATTATGAGGTCAGATTCTGTCACGTTGACCCCCTTTCTCTATCTGTCAGGTGCTGATGATGGTTGGTATGCCAGGTTCTGGTAAGACCCACTGGGCTCAGGCTCATATGCTCCAGAACGCAAGGAAACGTTACAATCTTCTGAGTACAAACTCCATTTTGAACTGCATGAGGGTAAGTGACATACAGTGTTTTGGTGCGTGTCAGAAATAAGACTTGCTCACACCAAGACTGCTGTTCTTCACAGATATTGGTTCAATTTGTCTGTTCAGATCATTCTGAATGTGCCGAATAAAAAGCTAATGCCGTTGTCATTCATCAAAAGGCTGTTTGTACTTAGACGCCAAACACAGCAGCAACTTTCATCTCCAGTGCGGGATTTTTCTTCTGTGTGACCACTTTCATCTAGAACAACAGTTTTGTTCGGACACACCACAAAGTTGTAGTTTTATGTAACCGCAGCGGCTCTGAGCATGTTTCCAAAAGTGCAAATCTTATTGGTTTGGAC